GAAGTTATAATGGAATGATCTGTGACCATTTAGGATCATAAAACCTTTTAGGATGACAAAGTCTTTGTAGTAGTATATTTGACTAACATTGTATTTGTCAAAAATGGCAGTGTCTTCTTCACAACAGTGAATAAAATCTTGCACTTTTGAAATGGTCCTCTTTGCAAACTCTGTTTAGTTAAATAGGCCTATAGCCATAGTGATGGGTGTCCACAGTTCTGAATAGTTATCACAATTTGTTTACTGGTAAGTTTGATCATTAAAAATTGTGATTCTAACACTTAGGCATAATGTTATTTTACAGATACGTCATACTTGTTGATACTTCATACAATTTTTTTTTTCCAATAGCAATACGAGGTTAATGTAAATACCTATTTTATTGTGGCTGTTGTTCTCACTTTTAATTTTTTAAACTTTTAAACATAAAACGTAAAACGTAGCTACGTTTGGCCTGTTTGGGCTCCGTATTTCCACTCGCAGACATAGCATAATGTTTGTTTTCATGGATTTCCTAGTTACTCACTGTACGAGAGGTCTTGGTTAGACATATGTAACCATAGAAAAGTAAAGTACTGTATATCACGTGACATCGGTAGTAACGCGGACGTACATTTCCGGAGGTGTGCCTCCCGCGAATGCTGGAAGTAAAAAAAAAATGGGATAGAATTCGAACATTAAAGTATTTAGTGTGGGTGGTTTATATAAACATAAACGCAACCCAGGTAAGAGACTCTACTGAATCTTTCCCCAAAGTTAGTTAGATAATGCACGTGCATAAACGAAGATCCGGGCTGTGCTGCCTCTTTTCACGTGTTACTAACCACCCACCAAAGCATTGATAACAAACCCTAGTGCACTACTCATGGTTTGCTGTCAACTGTATTTTGCTGTCAAAATATGCATGATATATAGATAGAAGTTTGTGGGAACCATACCTGTATTAAAACAATTATTTCATATGTACTGTGTCAATTGTGGTTCAGTGAAGTTGACATTTAAAAGTGGTTTAGAAAATAGAACCAGACAGTCTGAGAAACGTTTTTTCTGTTTTGTCCGACAGGTGTTTAGATGAGTAAGTTTGTAATTCGGCGCAGAAAAAGATCAGCCGTTGAGGCAGATGAATGGAAAACAGAGGAACCGTTCAAGAAATACAAAGAGGAGTGTGAGGTGGAAGAGGAGTTTTCCCAGCCCATCCCCTGGCAGAAGATTGAGGCAGAGGGATTGGACTGTGACTGCAGTTTGCTATTTGACAAAGAGGAGGCTGATCACCTTTTCAACCAGCTAGAAGACGAGGTGGAGTATTTTACATGTATTGAAGACACTTATATCATGTACATTGCTGTTCAGAAGTTTGGGTTCAGTAAGATTTTCTATTGTTCTTGAAAGAAGTCTCTTAAGTTCACCAAGGCGGCTTTTATTTGGTAAAAAATACATTAATAACAGTAATATTGTTAATTATTACAAATTAAAAGAACTAGTCTGTTTTAATATATTTTAAAGGGACCTAGTATGCCCCTTTTTACAAGATGTAATATAAGTCTCAGGTGTGTGTGTGTGTGTGTGGTGGGTTATTTGTGTGATTATATAAGCACGCGCACAGAAAGCGGCTGTCACACGGCATGTGAGTACTAAACTAAGTTCTCTTTCATGTCTTATTGCACTTAAACTGTCAAATACACAGAAGTTTATGTTTAAAACACACACAAGTTACAAAAACACAGTCGGTTATGTCTGTGAAGGTAACCAGCTGGGATACTCCACATGATGGAGATTTTGACAGCTGTGTGTGTATTTAACAATAAAGGCACAGGCAGAACTGATCGCAGAACTGGGATCGCACGGGCGCGGCCGAGAGAGCGCTTCTGTGTGTCATTCAGCGTGATTCCGCCTGTCTATCCCACCTTCACTTACTGCAATCGATAACAAATTGTGATTGGATGGTAATTTTGTCCTACGACAAGCTTAGCTTAGTTACCTTTGATTAGGCTGTTCTCGCGTGACAGAACACTTCTACTACTTGCTCTGATCAACCAGTCGTAAAGAAATTTGGAAATACGGGACAAAACATGATTTTTTTCAAAATAAGTCGGGACACTAAAAATAGAGCTGAAATATGGGACTGTCCTGGGAAAAACGGGATGTCTGGTCACTCTACCCACAGATCATTTATTATATCATTTTGAAAATGCCCATTTTGAGTGGAAGCAGAAACGCACTGTTTTCGTGTTTGTATCTTTAAATGCAAATGAGCTGCTGCTCCCCACCCCTTTACAGCTTGTACCTCAAATACTCTGCCAAAAAACATCTGTTTGGTTTTGATAATCATGTATATTGCGCTGAAATCATGCGTTTTAAATCCATATCAGTGTAAACTTCAGTTTAGTGTTTTCTGAGCGCACACATCCGAAGCACGCACACAGAAAGCGGCTGTCACACGGCATGTGAGTACTAAACTAAGTTCTCTTTCATGTCTTATTGCACTTAAACTTTCAAATACACAGAAGTTTATGTTTAAAACACACAAGTTACAAAAACACAGTCGGTTATGTCTGTGAAGGTAAACAGCTGGGAAAGAAATCGCATGTTTATATTAGATCTGCGTATATTGAGTGACAGCAGCGCCGTGAGTGGGAAAAGTGCAAATTAAGGGGAGGTGATATTATATTAAGATCCCCTTCCTGCATCACTAGGGGAGCGAAATCTGAGCGGCTCGTTTTTTCACATGCTTGCCGAGAAAGGCTTACCAAAACAAAGTTACTGGGTTGTCCTTTTTCACGTTTTCTGGGTTAGTAGATGCACCGGGGACCCGATTATAGCACTTAAATGCGGAAAAAATCAGATTTTCATGATATGTCCCCTTTAAAATATCGTTTATTCCTTTGATTACAAAGCTGAATATTTAGCAGTCATTACTCCAGTCTTCAGTGTCACATGATCCTTCAGAAATCATTCAAATATGCTGATTTGATGCTCAAAAAACTTATTATTATTATCAGTGTTGAAAACAGTACTTCTAATATTTTTGTGGAAACCTTGATACTTTTTTTCAGGATTCTTTGATGTAGTTCAACAGCATTTATTTGAAATAGAAATATTTTGTAACATTATAAGTCTTTGTCACTTTTAATCAATTTAATGAGTCCTTGCTGAATAAAAGTATAATTTTTTTAAACTGACCCCAAACTTTAGAACGGTAGTGTATATTGGCGTTACAGATACAGGAAACATACATGATGTTATCATGTTAAACAATCTAACTTCATTATTATACTTGTATCATATGCTGTGAGCTATATTAATATAGCACTGAATCCTGTTGTTGTTTGGATGGTGATTGTAATAGTGTCCAATGTTTGAAATGTTTTGTTTCCATTTTCTCTGAAGGTGACAAAGCTAAACTACAAGTGTATGGAAAGTCATACAGTGTTCCAAGGAAGCAAGCAACATACGGCGACGAAGGACTGATGTACTCTTTCTCTGGAGTCCATCTCCTGGCTAAACCATGGACTCCCACTTTGGAACACATTCGAGATGCTGTTACGAAGGCAACAGGCCATACGTTCAACTTTGTTTTGATAAACAGGTAATTTAACTGTCTGCTATTGACATGGACATGACTGTCCTCCCCATGAACCTGAAGAGGTGCATTGCATAACATAGAAAAAATGTTCTTTCAAAGTGAGGAAAGTATGTTTTTGGTTTGCGTTTGCACCATCAGATATAATGATGGTCGTGATCACATTGGAGAGCATCGGGATGATGACGGGAACTCGATCCTGCCTGCCCTATTGCCTCTGTATCTCTAGGGGCTGCCCGTGACTTCATTTTCCGACATAAGGATGCGCGAACTGGTTCTAGCAAACGTCAGATTGAGCCTGTGAAGCTGGAGCTGGCTCACGGGAGTCTACTGCTCATGAACTATCCCACAAACACATACTGGTATCACAGTCTTCCAGTCAGAAAAAAGGTCAAAATGCCACGCATCAACCTCACTTTCAGACGCATAGTGAAAAACAAATAGAAAACTGGCATTAAAATAGAGTGATTGTTTTTTTTAGCATCTTGACAGGTATTACTGTAGGCCATGTCAGTTGTTCTTCCACAACACATGTGAAAGTTGTGTAAGCTAGTGAGCATTTCTCATATCATCACATCCAATCTGCAATGAATCCTTGTTGGGTTTTAGCACATTCAGACATCTCTTGCACACTACATTATCAGTTCGTTTTAACTGTTTCACTTTATTTTCACATCTTCATGTTATGATTTATTAGTCATTAAACTAGTCTTTAAACTCATGTGCAGTAAAATTTGTACTACAATCTCAGGAAATCAAGCTCATCTTTGCTATTCATAGCAAATTCAGGTTTGATTTTTAACAAAATGCACTTTCAAGAGTATTCAAAGGAAATATTATTTTATTTTTATTTTTTAGAAAACCAATAAACTACATGTGGAATAAATAGGTTAGACACATCCATAGCTCTGTACAAGACATTTCTATTATAGACTGGGAAAGAGAAAAAAAAACAATATGATCCCAATGAATACATTTTGCTAAAAGTTTTAAAGATTGAACTACAGAAGGCAATAGTTTGGCGAAATACTGTGGCAAAAACATAAGGGTAGCAAAAACGTAATCGTATAAATATATACATTTTATTTTTCAAGCATACATAGAGTAATTTTGAGAAAGTCATACTTAGTGTTCACATTCCAGCACTGCTGGTCTGAGTATGAGGTATTCACACAGCTGTCTACCCATAACCTGCCTGTGTTACAATCTAATCAGTCACGTTTTTCCTTGGACGACGACACATGTGGTCAGTACAGTTGCTGCTAAAAGGAACAGTTATTTGTGAATTTGACGTATTAAAATTATGTTATTATTGTATCCCTTGTGTACATTTGAAGGTTGTAGTGCTGTTGAAATGGCAACCAGCATTTCAAAGCTTGGTTTGAACACCAGTTTGAGCATTAGTGAAAATGAACAGTTGTGGCTTACTTGACTTTAAAGAGAGAGAGAGAACCAAAATGTGGGCACTTGGAGAAGTGTGTAGACAGGCAAGACAAGACAAAAAACAAACAAAAAAACATTCCTTTCCTCAGTAACACAAAAGTACTCAACCAAGCAGGGCCTATGCTACAAGCTATGATCTTCACAGGAGAAGTTGAATAACTTGTGACTAGTACCATTTGCATTTTTTTAATATTTAGCTACTTATGGTGAAATCTCACTAAACTACAGCAGCAGAAATCAGTTACTTTCAGCGTGATTTTAAAAACAGTGTGTTGACCTTCCTGAGTGAACTAGAAAAGGTGAGTGATAAATTCTTTTTTTTTTAAATTGCAAGTGGCAGTTGATATCAATGCCAATTTGTAAAAGCTATGGCAGTTCCAGTGCCGTTTCAATTGACAATACTTATCTTAGCAAAAGAAATAGCATGTAGTGATTGTAGGGCAGCATGAACTGTTTTAGGATCAGTACACACAATTTCTCACAGCTTGATTCATTACCTTTACTCATACAATGATGATCCAATCATGCCCTCTACACTAAAAATGACCACAACAGACAGGTTTTCTGGATTAAAGTGAATATATGAGAGTGTAGAACTGAAGAAAACCTCCTATGTTGTGATGTGTTTCAGGATAAGAGACGGGGATCGCAAATGCCTGACAGCTGGGAGAAGATAGTTAACTTTCTTCAGAGGAAGAATCGGTTTTCCCTTTTTTGCTTGGGGGAGCACCATCATCCAATTCCTTCAAAAGAAACCATTAAGTTGGTTATAAAGCAGAAAACACAGCTGGTATATATAAACTTTTTTTTTTATTCTTTTTTTTAGCTGTAAGCATGTACCTGGGCTGAGTTGGAAGAGTCTAAAAAGTGCTCTGAATCCCCCTGTGACTTGCTGTCCCTTTTGGCTGTTATAGAACCTGATGAGCAGTGGTTTTGTTCTGAAAATAAAGAAGTGCTATTAGAGAGCCCCAAAAATCCCAACAGCTCAGACAGATAGAGAAAAGAGGACAATGATTTCGTAGAGGCCTCACTGCAGTGACTAACCACTCTTATGATCCTGAACAGATGAAGGCTGCTTGGAAGGATATTGGTCACTTTTCAAGTCATTGCTGTCATTCTGAGAAGCTGCCATGGGTTCAGGTGCAGGACTAGTGTTGTTGCTGGTCTCTTGCTTCAGTGGGGAGGAGTCTACAATGGAGCTCTGGTTACTGTTATCGTCTGTATGTGGAAAACAGAAACACGATTAAAAGGGTGTTGCAAATGATTTGAGAAATGCTTGGAAAAACTTTCAAGCAGTATATGACTGTTAATAGATGGTTACAAGATAGAATAGTAATTGACCAATTAATGTGTAGTAAAACAGTTTCATCAACCCCCTCTATTGGTTAAGAAGGATAACGGCCCATTGAAATCCATTAATAATAATAATAATTAAAAATGAATAATTGACGTGAAATTACAGGTCATTTCTGGCATACTTTAAATATTGCAGAAATCCCTATTAGATCAAATGTTTATGAATCACAAAGATCACAATTTGGTTTAAAAACCACTATAAATTACAATAATCGCCAAATAACATAGCCTAAAAAACACTGTCTGAGGATTATTTTGAGATGTGATTGGAGTCTGATAACTGTCAGGTCTACAGCATTACCATGCATATCCATCATTCCAGGAGAAGAGCTGTTCTCAGGGGTCGTGACCTCAGAGCCATATTTGTCATCTTTGCCTTTCTTCTTGTTTTTGTTCTTCTGTGTGACAGAAATAAGTGCATTGTCAAATGCAAATTTTTTTTTTTTTTTTTTGCAATTAAACCATGAGGAGAATAATGAACCAATTAACAAAATCTAAAAGATATAGTGTAGAATAATATTGGCTTTGTGTGTGTGATGCTACAACTAAAACGTTTAATGATCTGGGCCACCAACACACACACACACACACACACACACACACACAGACACAAAGATTTGGCACTAGTAACCTCAATGCCACTATGACTTTACCTTTACTAATTTAAAAATAAAGTAAAACAAATATATTTCAAAAAATCATTATATCATGATATTTTACCTCAAAATATTGTATCAATATTCCAATGCCAATAATCAATATTTTAGTATTGTTTTTTTATTCATTTTTGGGAACAAGAGATTTATCTGTTATATTGGCCATAACATGAAAATAATTATTGGGCAATCAGTATCAACCAGAATTGCAATAACAGTATATTATGGTGATTAAAGTTCACTTACATCATCTGACTTGGGCTCTGTCACTGGTACCCACTTGTAGATTCGCAGTGACGTGTCTCCAACAGTCACCCATTTCTTCTCCCTGGAGATGCATGTCATTGTTAGATATCAAAGACAAGACCGAAAACAAATGAGTTTAAAAAGGGATTAATTATTTCAACATTTAAATTTATAGGCATCTCTGCAGAAGTATTTATTGTGCAATATTTCCAGAATATGCAATACAGCTGGTAACATATCGTCACCTTGGAATTATAAGGTTCTATCTGCCATTTTTGTCAAAATTGAGTTTTCACATATTCTTATTCTGACAACTTATTTACATTATGTGATGTTTTTTTTTTAAAGTTGTGTACATTTTGGGACTGATGTATGAAAGAGACTTGTTCCACATATCACTATATGGAATGCAAAAAAAGCTCAATATCTCGAAACTGCTCAGAATGCAGACAGAACCTTATAATTCCAAGGCGAGGATATCAACAAGGCACCTATACTTTTTTGCTATAAATATACAAATTTTAAAGTGAGGTCAAGTCTTTCTGCAATACTGTACTTTGTGGAGACTGAATGGTTGTGTAGAACAATACTAGTTATCGTAATTACATTTACAATTTTAAAATCATTTTACTAGGTCAAATATTAGGACAGTCAAAAGTTCATTCACACTTGTGTTACCAAAATAATCATTATTTACTCTTTGGATAATTTGTATACGTTTAGTAATATACTGATGTTGTGGTTATTGTTAATCTCATGACTTTTCTGTTGTAAAATGTATTTTAATTTAAGCTGCACTAAGTTTAAGCAAAATGTTCAGCAGTCCCCGGACAAGTGTGAAAGTGGAGGCGAAGCTGAAGCGCCGCGCTGAGTTTAAAACCCCGCGCGTGGATAAAACTTCTCACGCACCGTCGCTCAGAAGCGCGGGTCACTCACTCTCAGATGAGGTGAACAAGTCAAACGTCCGTTCAGCGGCACTTTTTGCTCGGTACGGATGTATGACTATAAAAAGCATTGTGATTTAAGTTGCACTAAAGTTTAAGCAAAATGTTTAGGAGTGTGAAAGTGGAGGCGAAGCTCGAGCTCCGCGCTGAGTTTAAAGCCCCGCGCGTGGATAAAACTCTTCTCACGCGCCGTTGCTCAGGAGCGCGAGTCACTCGCTCTCAGATGAGATGAACGAGTCAAACATCCGTTCAGCGGCACTTTTTGTTCGGTACGGATGCATGACTCGAGTTCCTCATGTCAGCCCGTTCGGTTACTATTCAGCCGGCATTACAGGCTCAAACAGCAAAGCCTTCATGTGACTGCAACGAAATGGCTTCTAGGTTCAACCCACATAAAAAATTTAATGGAAGAAAAATGCGATCTACATTTTTCCTAACTAATTTTTAAAAAGCCGACAAAAAGAGCAGCCGCGCGAAGAAACAGCACATCTGACTGAAATTGGAGTGGAATAAACGCTCTCTTTACTTTCATTTCATTGTTTCTCGTTGTCTCTCCTCCCCCACAGGCTGTCTGTACTCTTCGTTAACTGTAGACGCTCTCTTACCATTTCCGCACTTTTTCAATTGCAGCCATAACCCGCTTGATGTCATCTTTCGCCCTGCTCCGCGTCTCCGCTCGAACCGACCTGCCCGACATTACTGCTGTTGGTAAAATATCTTTTTGCTCGCTGCCTGTTTAGACACAATGCGAATGCACACCGCACAGGAGAGAGGCGGGGTTTGTGCGCCTGCGCTGAAGCCAAATGCCCTGGAAGCAAGCAAGAGAAACACGGTCAATGCGGGTACGCGTTTCGCTCTTTTGTTTAGCGAACAGAGCAATGAAAACGATATTTTAACAGATTGTTGAGTGAGACTAACAAATCGAAACGATGACTACGACAGCCACACACGTGTCTGGAAAAAAACAGACTGACAATCGACAGTAGGTTGGCAAACAACAACGTTTATTTCCGTGTGATCTGATATCTGCGTTTCAGAAAAGTGTTAAACACTCAAATATGAAAATACACCGAAGCAACAGCTTAGTAACCGCAAAAAATACTGTTCTACTAGACAGGCTATAAATCAAACATTATTTGATTGCATACATTATTAGTTTCAGAAAGGTTCAGATGTTATAGATGGTGCCCATGTTCTTGAGGAAGTTCCTGGGTGGCTGCAGAAACCCCCAAGATATCTGTGGCGAATGTCTCCATGCTGATTTCAGGGGGTAGCGCTCTCTCTAAAAGAGATCCTGTGTGGGACAGACCGACATGGGACAGATTAAAACATTGGTAGGCTATATTTTAAAATTCACTAGGAATTTTTTTTGGCCAAACATTCCTTGACATTAAGAAGTTATTCAAATTCTGTGATGGTCATACAGTACAGATGACACATATTATGTCATCTGCAAAGACAAGCTACACTTTTTCATGCACATTTATCTGATCACTCGAAACCCCAAACCACCCCGTTATCAGGTACAGGTTCCAGGTCCAAGTCTCTAATCCTTTTCAAGTGAGACTACTATCTCAACAGCTGTTTATGAGCACTGTTCATTTCATGAACCTGGAAACGCTGACACGTGTCGTCAGACCTAGCATTCAGGCAGTAAGCCATCAAATTTGTCCATCAGTATGGTGGTTCGCAGGACTTCTGCATACCTGTGCAACTGCCTCCCTCTGCACTAATACCTAAAAGAGTTGTAAAACATTCAGCCAAGTCATCCTCGGTCATATGTTCACCTGAAATGAACATACAAGTAGTTCCTATTCTAGCCAAAGTCTTTCTCTGTTAATTATAATAATTCTTTCTCTGGTATCTCATATGCAAGTTAACACATGTAAAGTACTGATAAAACTCATGAAAATGTATTTACCTCTAGCCTGCAGTAACTCCAGCAGTTCATCCCTGTCAATAGTTTATCAGCTCCCCCTCGTCTGGCTTTCCAAGCACCTGAAAGGCATTGCACAGCTCCTGTCTGGAAATGCCAGAGGCAGGTCTGTGGTTGACATACAGTTTTATGTACTCCTCCAAATCGATGTCCATCACATAAATTCTGGTTTCAGCATAGCGGATGAACTTCACCTCATTTTGCATGTCTTCGTGCTTCAACAAAACAGAACAACCATGTGTTTGACAAAAGATTGAGTGGTAGTCCACATATCGATGACAGATCTGTGTGGTAGACTCAACTGGTGATTGCAACAATGCTCGTACCTCTTGCTCTGTGGGATAGAAGCCAAGCGCTCTCATTAAGAAGGGCACATCAGCTAGAGGGATGCGTGTGGACACAAGTCGTGTTTCCATGGTGTCAAGGTCCTGATTCTGTAGTTGACCGTAGTAAAAAATCCTCCATTTCCTAAAGGACAAATCATAACATTTGCTCTCTACTGGCATCATGAAACTAATTATTAGAATGAAATTAGGTAAATGCTGAAAAACTGCTACAAAAAGTAATTTTTGACCTGCACATGGGACAATGAGAAAAAAGAAAGCATTAGAACAGAGATCTCAAACCAAGAAGAGCTGTCCATCTCGTCCTCCCTCCAGAATATTGTAGAAGGGCAGCATGTCCTTCCCTTCTAGAGCAGCTGATGCCTCTAATGATAATGATGATTCGAATGAGTGAAAAGCAGAAGCTAATTCTGTGACGACAGAACTGTGAGGTGGCAAACACAATAAGCTGTACATAGTTACAATTTCAAGCATGTGTCCAAACTATCCTAAAAAAAACCTTTTTTAATTCATTATTATACAACTATTATACTACACACGCATTTTATGACCTCATATTAAATTAGCAACTATTTGATATATTATGACTTAGTTGACTAGTCAACTGCAAAAACCAGTGGACTTCTGCATGGGATGCATGTTCTCCAAACTTACGACAAACTGAGCTCCCATGAAAAGACAGTGCAGTCCTGTCCTCCAGCAGTAAAAGCATATCTACCATCATATGAGCAAGCCAGAGTTGACACACTTGTTGAGTGGCAGATCATTGCAAAGGACTTGTGAGGGTTTCCATCCAGAGGCAGAATCTGAATGTCAACCTACATCAAAGAGAGAAAACAGGAATGAAAAGGAGATTTAAATAATTAAATCATAGTAAAGGCAATAAAACTGGCATGATGGCTCATGCTGATACAATGTGATCAGTACAGAAGAGTAATTAATATCAAATGCATGGTTTGTTTATGAGGACTGAAACACTTTATACCTTACCTTGTGTTATATATGCCATGTAACGAGAATTAGGGTCGCCATCCTTAGATGCAGGTAGAATGGCCATCTTTTTCACTGGAGAACCATAAGAGGGCCCGAAGACTGTTTTTCTGTGCAAAGCACACTATCATGAACAGATATACAAAATCTGAAAAAAAAAAAATTTTTTAAATGACTTAATTTTGAATTTTCAAGAGATTAGAAAAAGGAAATTCTTTGATCTGCAGAGCAACTATGAAAACTGGTTAACAATATAGTAGACTGAAAAAATTATTTCATTAAATTCAGTTCTGTTCATATCAGCATAAAATAATATAACTAAAATATAAATAACATTCCCTTACTTTCTCACTCAGTATGCCAGTAGGTGGCAACCAGTGATCATCTTTATGAGTAAGTCATTGAATCATTCACTCTAATCGATTCGTTCAAACATACTGTTCATTCAGGAACGAAATTGTATCTTTCACTCAACCTATTCCTTGAAAACGCTCATTCATTTAGGAACAAAACACTGCTGTGGCTTTGTTTGTAAATATTTCCATAGGCACAGTAAAAACAGACAGTAACTAGCAATATTCTGCTAGTTTTTATTTTAATCCCACCTAGAGCATAAACTGATTTACAGATCTGTTATCCTAACCCAATTCAATAAATAATAATACTATCCAATAGTTAAGGTTTAGAATGTTAAAGAGGGCCATTTCATTTTCCTATTACCTGTTTATATTGTGTTTACCCTAGCTATGCATAATGTAATATATATTATTCAGTGTGTTTTACTTTAAAAATCCAAGCAATAAAATCAGATAATTTTTTTCCCTTTTGGTTGACAGCCTATTTAATTATTTTGAGCTTCAGGAAACCTGTAAATCCACTGACCTTTAAATTAGTATTACCTCACTTAACATGAAATAATTTCCCTTCACTTATGGATGATGACAAATGTACTTAGGATCAATCTTCTATTCCTTTGACCGTAGTCATAACAGAGATGTTTATCTTAACAGAATTACTAACTTATTTCCCTTTTGGATCAGAAGAATGTCATATTAATAAAATATCCTTAAATCCCATTCTATTATCCAATGTGAGGTTTGTGTATTAATTTTTTCCATTTTAGTTTCTCTACGAATCACTTTGAGACAGAATAGTTTGGCTTTTGGTTCATTTGAAATTATGCAAACAAATCAACCAGATTGCTGTTATTTCAGTGCTATTTCTATTTGTTCTACCTATAGGAAAACTGCAAACCTGCACATTTTGGAGGTAGCATTGAAGAGCTTCATCTTATACAGGTTGGAAGCTGTAAGGAGGAAGTGTTCGGGTGTCAGAGGAGGATACCACACCATGCAAGTGGGCACAGCACTTTGCTCAATACGATCAAAACTCACGATTTCACCACTGGTCTGCAGATCATACTCCACCTGTTCAGAACAGACAGGATAGATGTGATACGTTTAACACAGTTCAACAAGATAAACACATACTAAGGCAGCAAGATCATACAGGAACACAGGGACTCACCAGCATGCGATCCATGCCAAGAGAGAGGAGGCGAGGCTGACTGTTGTCTAAATCCACTCCAAACAGCAGGCCCTGAATGGGTTTATAATGCGAGTGGTGCCTGCCTTGGTACTTCCAAATCTCCTGGGTCCCCTCTTTACACCGACGGAGCAATATCACAGCTTTTCCAGTGTCCTGAAATAAGAAAAATACATATAGGAAATATAGATCTCTTTACGCTCACAATCCCAAACCTTAATGGTGCCACTGTGGCTGCCCATAGCTACTAGTGGCTGTTTAGGATGGCAGGCAACTGCTTCCAGAGGTTCTGCATGTTCCTTCAGAAGGGTCTGTGGAACATTTCTCTGTGCATAAACATGTACTGCAGTTGCATGAGTTTCTGTAAATGGAAGGAGAGAAACATTTTATTGCATTATAGAGAGTTTACAATTGAATGATGTTGCCACTATATGCCTGCCTTCAAATGGTAGTATAAACAGATGAAAATTAATAGTATGGTTAATACCATACTTTAAAGAAATTAAAATTCTGACATCATGTACTACCCCCTCATGTTGTTCCAAACCTTTGTGAATTACCGTCATCTGTGGAACACAAAAGAAGATATTTTGAGAATGTCTCAGTGTTTTTGTCCATACAAATGGAAGTCAATGGTCACCAAAACTTTTGGTTACCAACATTCTTCAAAATATCTACTTTTATGTTCAGCAGAAAAAGTTATACAGATTTGGAATGACATTCTGGTGAGTAAATGATAAGCAGAATTGTATTCGTATTCCCCTTTACGCATACTCACTGACTAAATTGAATATCTAAATGTACTTTTTTTTTTTACATGGATGGGTGCATCCAATCTAAGCACCGCACTCTTGTTATCAGTTTTAGCTTTTAACTGAGGACTTGAAATGCATCATATTGCTGAGGTATGTGTAAAAATATAATAATGAGAACTTTCTTCAAAATATCTTTTAAATAAATGCTAATTCAGTGAAGGAAAGTTTTTTTTCTAAAAGGTTTTTAAATATTCTTTTCATATAGAATAATTCATATTTATTATCCTGACTTGCACATAAAATA